TGCCATTAGCTGCTGGCATAATTGTTGTGAGGCGATGCCCCCGATCCCATCTTATATTCTGCATTTATAGGACTGGTTTATGGTCACCGACCCAACAGTTATTACTCAGACTTCAAAGGCACAACATCTTCAGTGCAGAGGCACTATGATTGTTTTGTTCTCTTCACATTTCTTAATTATCACACCTTAGTGAAATCTCAAGGGAAAAAAGTCCTTGGCTTTTCTGCTGACATTATTATTGCTGGAGTCCAGGCTAGCTTCTTTAAAACAGAAGAATAAGAGCAAAATCATTCTACTTGAAATAAAGCAGAATTTGGAATGCTTATGGCATGCTGGTTGATTTGGTGGCCAAAATAAATATTCCCATTGAGATAATGTATCACCAAAATTTGGAAAAATATATTAATTGAAAGAGTGAAAGCGAGCTTGATTAAAAGCAGTAACCTGATGTCTTTATCAAACTATTTTACCTTAACATGTACATATAAATGTGCTCCCTCTGCCCTGGAAAGCTTAGTAGCTAAGTAGAGGAGGATGAAGTAGTAGAGTACCATTGCACCTCTAAGTAACTAAACCACAGAAAGATGAAATATCTTGGTCAGTAAAAGAGATTTTTGGCAGAGAAGGAGTATAACCTGTATATTCTGAATGCCAGACCACGGTCCTGAGTAGAAAACCATGGTCTCCTTTGAAATCATGTTAAAATTAACTAAACAAAGCCACCGATTCTTAATGCCAAGTGATATTCAGCCCATTCCTTGGTCTGCACAAGTCCCTTTTAATAAAGCTCTGTTGAAAGAATCAGCATGCATGTGCATCTCCAAGAAGGGTAGAGATTTTAGAAAGACTTCAAGAAGTTTTCTCAGCGAAGGGCTTAAACTGGGCTATGATAAAATGAGATGGTTACAAGAATAGATACCCAGTTTGAAAACTGGAGAGAGCTTTTGAGTTTATGTTACCAGCCATGCTGATCATACATGGGCAAATGACCACCAGGCTAGAAGATCTCACAATACTAAGTGCCAAGGTATTAGAAAAACAGGAGAAATTCTGTGTCAGTGCAAATATAATACAAGACATACACACACAGAGGCTCTAGGCACATCTTTCTCAAAGATCTCAGTGACTCTGAATGATTCACTGTAAAGCATCTATTCAGTGCTCCACAGAAGGGAAAATAAGATACAAGAATATGAGTAGAGAATGAAAAACAGAAAATATCCTCAAGCAATATATAAATCCACAATAGTTCTGGTCATTCTGATCAGAATAGATACAGAACATTATAGAACCTTGCTGCTTCTTTTTTAAGTAAATACCTGAAAAATGAAAGAAGGGACACAATGTCTGGCCTATAAAGTCTGGAATAGAGAAGGTACACAGAGAATGATATTAACTATTTTTCATCATATAATATAGGGCACCTGTCACAAGAAAGTATTTCTCTCCTCAGCACAAATTAAATGCTGGAACTCATTTTTATAGATGTTGCAGAGAACAAAAGTATATATGGATTTAAACAAAACAATAAAAAAACAACATGAAACTCCACTGAAAAAACTAAACATCAGTTTTGGATGTCTTTAAACTGCTGATTATGAAACCAGGAAAGTAAAGAGTTATCCTCTTAATAATCTTTCCCTAAGTCTCTATCACTGACAACACTTGGGTCACATTTTGCTTTGCTTTGATCCAGCTTGCAGTTTACAATAAAATGAACTTTATTATGAAGTTTGCAGATAGTACATAAAATTGTGCTAATAAAATCTGTAGATGACAGGAAGAATTATTATGTTAGCAAATGATGGGAGAGGACAAGATTCTGATTCAGAGCAATCTGGTACTCTGTATTTACTGTGATGTAGCTAAATATAGCATAAGCCAGGGAACAAGGTTACCTTTATAGAATGGGAAACAGTCTCAAAACAGTTGAACTTGAAGGATTTAATCTCACCTCAATGCTTTAGCATAAAGAGGCCAAAACTCTCTGGAGTTCAGAACTAGAATAAAAAAAGAAGGATCCAAGTAGAAACAAGGAAATTACCTTGTTTCTGACCAAAAAAAAAAGCAAAACACTGGTAAAATAAATCATTAGACAGCTTGGTCCAACTTTCAAAAGGGAGACAAATACTGGAAGTAAAACCATGAGATTAAAATATTCTAGGTACCAGGAACAAGCACAGCTGTGCAACACAAACTCAATTTCTACAGCTTAACTAACTAAAAGGCAGGAGGAGGACTTGATTTCTAAGCAGTGGCACCTGTACACAGAGTGAACATTAGATAATGTGGGGTATTTGACCTTACTGCCAATAACATGACAAGATGCAAAAGTGGAAACAGAAGTTACAGGAACTCAGCTTTGAAGTAAGATGCAGTTTCCCAGTACTGAGACCAGTGGGCTTGGAGCGTTTAAAGTAAAATTTGCTCTCTAAAAAGCAAAAACTGAAAGTTCCCCAGTAGCTCTTAGGAGAAATTTTTCAATCTGTAGATACAACAGGACATCTGAAGATAAACACAGGTGAAGGGCGTTTACCCACTTTAATTGAGACAACATAGACATAACCTTCTTCATGGGCTGGCTTGGAACACCTAGCAATTGATACACACTCTTATTTGAGAGGATATGGGGAGCAGAGAAGGATGCTTATGCAAGCGTGAGAAGTGTGTTGCCAGACTCAACATCCATCAACCAAAGTCTGCCTCTTTCTACTCTGTGAATGTGGGGTTTTGCCTTGTTTTATTACCCTTTGGTTCAACATTAAGGAAATATTTATGCTTCAAAGTCCTGGGCATTAAGCAGGTACTTGGAGTACCAGGAATTAAGTGTCACATCTTGGTGATGTAATTCAGCATTTGGCCCTGCTTTATTCAATTTTCTTTTCCCTTGGCTACTTCAAAGGCTTTGCAATGCAAAGGATGAGATGTTAAAGAGGTGGTCAAGGTTTTCAGGGGCAATCTCACAGGTGTCTGTTCTTTTCATGCTCAGGATCACACTGATCACCAGTTTCAGATCTGAGAAGGAAATTAACCCCAGATCAGATTATCAGGGACAGTGTCAGAATTGTTACTGTGGGGGGGATTACCCAGATATATTTCAGCCAATTTCTCTAGACATTAGTTCTACCTTGCTATGACCTATTCTCTGCCTATACTTACTATCTGGGGAGCAAGAAAGGCCAAAGCAGAGGGAAAAAAATTGTACAGAGCTTTAAATAGGTTGCAATCTCTGGTTTTATCATAGGTAATTTGTCGTATTTAGTAGCCCTGATATACAGGAGGTCACATGAAATCATTTAGAAGTCCTGTCTGGATTCAATTTCTAAGAATGTATTAATCTCTGCCTGGCACAGGAAAGATAATGGCATTTCCTTCAGTAAAGCCTCAGTCAGTGCCAAGAGCAGGAGTCCGACTGTCATCAGATCAGCCAGTGAAAACAAGAGGGGTATTTGGTTGTTTATTTATTGAGTCATTCCAGCTTGATACTGGCCTTATGCCAACACATATAAGTTCAGAGATAAAGAGTTATTCCCAATGATAGCAAGACAATCTATTTCTCCCCATTACTGCACAGAAATCTAGTGCTAAATTAAATCCTATCCCAGATATGCAGGTAATCTGAACCTCGACTTTCACAAGAGCGAAAAGGTTCAGGAGACAAGCTGGGGCAAATCCAGAGAAGGGTCATAAAGGTGCAACGAGCCAGATCCCTGCATAAAAGTTCTGCTGTCTTTCAACAGCCCAGTGCAGATTTGAACTTGGAAAGGTCCAAAGGAAACTATTTAAACCCAGGTCCCAGAATGCAAAGGGAGCTAGTGGGATTGCTCAGGAGCCTGAAGTGGCTTTTTTTTTTAAGAGAGCAAACAATATAAAGTAAATAAGGGAGAATGACAACCCTCTAAAAGAAAACTAAAAGTCCCACTGGTGCGCTCTGCTTGTCAGAGAATACAGGAGCAAAACACAAGCATGTTAAAAGGCTCTAGCCTGGAAGAACTCTGGTTTTTTCTTCTTTAAAGTAATGAAATGGTTCAACAGCCTTCTGAAAGGTGAAAAATCTTTGCCTGTCTACATTTGCAAGAGAAGCCTGAATTACCTGCCTTTCCCTTTAAGCATTTTCAGATACAAATCAAACACAGATGGCCCATTATGTTTATGACCTCACTGTCAATTGCTCTAGATAGTTCATGCATTAATTATTGAAATATTTTCATAGTATACAACTTTTTAGTGTTCACATTGTCACAGATAATTTCAACTTTCTGATTAGGAGATATAAACAGTGCTATAAACAGTCTCGAATGCCATAAAAGCCACAACTATACTGGCCTTTCTTTTTTGTAATGAATACAGCCTTAAAATGAGAAAAAGAAAAGGAAAAAAACTAACAATCAAAAAAAAACCTGGCCTCAGTCCTGAAAGTCAACATTATGTTAACATTCCCTGCAATACATAAACGATGCCAAAACCTATTACAATTGCAGTAAATCTTGATTACCAGAGTTGTTTGTTATTTATGTCTAGAAGATAAAGATAATATTGGGAATAGCCCCCTTCTTTTTGGTGTATAAATGACATCCGTAAAATATTGTGGTTTTTTAAACAGTGAAAAACACTTGATTGAGGTTTTCAAATTGTTGTGTCTGTTCTGCTTCAAGAAAACCACCTTTGGCGAGTCAGCAGGCAGTACCATTCCTTTAATTCTCATTTACTTTCATTAGTAAATATTGAAAACTCTAGACTAAGCCTAGAAAAGCCTATAGAGTAGCAAACAGCTCCTAGGAGTAGCTAACCAATGATTTCCAGAATAACGTCATCAAAAACACCAGTTTCCTCAGAAACAGCCCACTGAATGAAGGTTAGATCTTACCTCTAGAAGAATGCTCTAAGTTTGCATTCTCATGAGCAAAGAGCAGGAATCAAACCAAACTTTCTCTTCCTTGGGGATATAGAAGATAAAAGGTGGGGAATGGTCTTACTGCCAGGTAAGTTTTGGGGAATACCTTGAAAGTATCCATCAGCTGCAGATCCCTTGGCATCAAACCAGGATGTCCTATGTGTGAAAAGCACCAGCAAGTTCTGCGCTGCCCACCAATCACTGGATCCACATATTGGACTCCTTAGGAAAAGTAAAATAAAGTTAAACCTTGGGTTCTTATACCCTTTTTCTCATCTGAACATCCTACATTCATACCATGAAAAACTTTTCCAGGTAGGATCTACCTTCCTCCAGCAAAAAAGCATAGGAATTTTTATTACACATGCTATTGGAAAACAAACATAAGGCAGGTCACCTAGTGATTAATGCTGCAAGAGCTACATCTCTATCTAGAGGAAAAAAAAACACAGCTTCTTTTACTTATGTTTTTACTGCCTTGACATTTCTGCAAGCCAAAACTAGAAAAGGAACCCCAAATTTATAGGGTGGGGAATTAAGAGTTAATCCTTCCTAGAATATTCCAGATGAGCAAAGAGGAAACATGCCTTTTTAATATTACTATTTTTGGCAAACCCCTCCAAATAGCTGATGCCATCCAAAACAGCAAAGGTAGAAGGGGGGGGGGGGAAGAAGAAACATCTCAAGCAAGTAGCCCAAGGGAAAAATAAGTTCATGACTAGCACATTTACACCTTTCTTGATTTATTTAATGTACAAGAATCATGTAATACGACCTGTTTGCTGCCCTAACAAGCATTTATACTTGCAGCAGATCAAGTCCAGACCCACTTCTTGTGGCGCAGGCACCACTCACAGACTTCTCAAGACCAAAAAACACAGACTTAAGCTCTCTACAGCTTCCCATAAGCACAGTGGGAAAATAGCTAAAAGAGAGGAAGAAAGACAAAAACCCACACACCATTACTTCTTAGCTAGAGATGCGTAGAGAAGCAGCAGTACCTCCACTAACCCAAGCCTCAACCTTCACACTCCTCCTCTAATGTCTCCTGTTAAGTGTGGTTTGGCTTTTTATAGAGCCCAGATTTACTCTCCCCGCCCCCTCCCCAGGGAAGAACCACACCAAACAGGGGAGTGTTTTAGGGGTACTTCCATGAAACTCTCCCAGATATTTCCCATCCCCTTGTGTCGCTCTTCTCAAAGGTCCACCATCTGCTGGAGATGCTCTGATATTTGAAATAACCAAAGACAAAAGAGAAACAGCTGGCAAAATAAAACCCTAAATTTTTCAGGACCTCCCTTGTCTCATGGACACTTCCAAGTCCTCCATGGTCCCAGGATTTCTTTAGGCCAATTTGCATGCCAGGTCCCAGCTGGCTATAATTCAGTACAGCTGAAGGCTGCTCCCTTTAATGTATGGTCTTCCTTGGGAGGGGTTCTACATGTTGTTAGAAAGGAGTTAGGAAGAAGAGAGTTTTTTTGCTAGGCAAAAGTTGTTTTGGGCCTGAAGGAATAGATGTTTTTCTGTAGGTTTTCTGTGGTTCCTTTTCTATGCAGAACTGCTATTAATGTATTCTGCTTATTTTATTTATTCTGAAATTATTAACACTAGATTTTGCTATAGCTGAGAAACAGAAGTAGGGAAATGAGGCTGCTTAATTTGTTGTGAAGGTGGCTGGGTTTTTTTTCCTGTAGAGGATTGTTAAGGTTTTTCTACAGCTTGAAGGGCTAAATAAAGCTCGCACTTGTGGTCATATCAAATGGATAGTCTCTATCAACTCTTATAGCACTACCACTTATAAGAGATAGCAAATATGGGCTCTTCCTTTTTCCTTTCTTCTTTTTCTGCTTCTAAATAGAAAGCAGAGGCCTGGTTAAACTTTTGTTCTTGCAGATAACCAAGAAATGTATTGTTTAATTGCAGCAAATCTTTACTGCTCTTTTCCTATATACTATGAAGAAAAGTGGCTGTTCAAGAAAAGACGTATCCTCCTGAAACATGTTTGGTGCTGGTGGAAGCAGGCTGGCTGTGCAAACAGATCTCTAGGGATTTATGGTGATCAGTTTTTCCAGCATTAGGAAAGCCTGAGAGCACATTATTTTTAAATGAGTTATATATTTAGCGCTATGCCCACCGTTCTTTCAGTTCTAATTTTAGAGGGCAGGGGACAACTCTGGCACTATTGTAGCCTTGTCTAAATTTAATATAGTTGAGCAGCTGATGATTATCAGAGAGATTGCCTTTTTGCTCCTTCAGGAATTTTTCACTCAGGAAAAAAGTTGCTGTGTAGTATTCAGCTTAGGGTATTGTACAGGTTGTGGTAGTACATGAGGAAAAAGTGTGCTCTGAAATAGTCTTTAAAGACCAGTTTCTTACTGCAGCTTTCAGAAGCAAATGAGGTTGGTTTGGGCAATATTTTCCTTTGCCTTATGTAGAAAGAGTAATAAATTGTGCTGGTAAATACCAGTAGACCAGTCCTATCCCTTCTCTGTATGAGTACAGTTGCCACTAGATAAAGAAGGGACCTAAGGATCTTCCAGTTCACCAGTTGGCTTGTGAAAGGGGTGAGGAGTGGTGTTCCCTTCTGCTTGCCCAATGCTAAGGGTCAGGTGGTCCATCCAGAGCCATGGTTTGAAGACCAGAAGAGGAAATCTTCTAATACTTCAGTTCAGTCTCTTACAAGATAAAGCTCCCAGATGGTTCCCCCACTTACAGTTATGGGTAAGTGTGACTTTTAACTCTTACATGGGCTTCAAGACAGTCTGGACCTCCATGTGTTGTTTTTCTTATTATGGTTATAGTGAGCAGTGTCGTCTCAAGCAGTGTCTCTCTGAATTTGTCAAATGATAAGCTATCCATATTTTATGGAAACAGGAACTTGTGATGCTGGGAGGTTTTTTAAGTGTAAGTGATTAAAGGCAACACACACAAACAGTTTAGCATTAGAAGCAAGCTTAATCTGCATAACTACACAGTGTCAAAGATTTTTTTTTCTAGACAAAGGGTGTTTAATGAAAAACTCTGCAAAGAGAGGCCTTGCAACTTCCTATAAATATTGGGCTCTCTGCCTTCCTTCTGAAATATATTAACAGCCTCAAGAGGGATTATTGATGCTAGCAAGTAAGTTTAAGCAGTCCTCAGAAGTCCCTGACACTGTGTACAGCATTAGAGTTTTGCATATGGTTCCCCCCACATGCACTTAAGTGTTTTGAGGTTGGGGTGACTGCAGGTCTCTGAGAAAGCAAGATTGATAAAGCAAAGCAATCGGAGTTATTTCCTATGCATGAAATTGATTAAATGCTTCACTAAATGGCTTATAAATTTGGCTCTCATATTTCTGTCACCCACTGCACAGATTACAGAAACTCCGTCTATAACCATGTTGTATACAATACCAAATTACAAAAGGTTGTAAAAACTAATGTTTTGTTTAAAGTTTTGAGCAGGACCATATGCCTTTGGTGACCTTGAGTAAGCTATTTTAATTCAAAACATTTTAAAGAGTAGAAGAGAAGGAAAAAAAAATCCATCTGCATAACAAAACTGAACTAACACAATTTAATACTTAGTATGCAGCATATCATTTCTTACTTCTTGCCCGATAAAATGTTAAATCCCCTTCTACCAGAGTATTCTAATTTTATAGCTACTAAGTGTATGTGGCATGAAACCTAGAGTCTCAGGTTTCCCCAGATTGAATTTGCTTTCCTTATTTTATGATCTCTGTTATCAAATCTATCTGGGAACTTACATGGTCCCCTTCATTCTGGAACCCATGTGCATCAGGCGCTAGTGGCTCTGACCTCATCAGACCCTTTAAAATGAAGCTCTATTGATTTCTGACTTAGTGTAGAGTTTCATTACCTCCCAAAACAGGATGAGCAACTGAGGCACAAAGATGCTGAGGCTCTCAAGATGCCAAAAGCAGGTGTGAGTAGTTTGTGCCCGGATCTGCTTGCTTCCCTTTCCCATGGGACAGCCAAATGACTTGTACAGTTTGGGGCAGAGCTGCACAAATGTAGTCAGCTGCTGATACAGTATTAGTTTCCAGACTGTGCTTAGTCACACACAGTGTCCTGCGCACATTTAACAGCTGCTGGTTGCACCCAGTTATGCTCTCGGTCCACAGCAGAGTAAACCATTGGCCCACCGAGTCTTCTGTTATTTTAAAGCCTTGTGTTGGCTTATACCTTGGCTGTCGTGGTGTAAACATCTGACCTGGAAACTTGAGCTCGCCCAAAGCTGTCTAATTGTAGGGAAGGACATTACTTACAAAGCCACAGATATATATTAACCACACTAAAATAGGTAGACTGCTTTACAGAGCCAGTAAACACGGTTCTTCTGACAGTCATAAATAACGTTTTACAGGTTCCTTTTTACATGCAGCTCCATTTTACAGATGGGAAAAGTGAGGCTCAGCAGGCAAACAGGCTTTGCCCAGTGTCAGAGTGCAAGTTCTCTGGCAAAGCTTGAGGCTGAGCTCTGGCTCTTCTGCTCCCCAGTGCTTTAAGAACCCAGCCATACTCTCCTTAGCTGTACAAATAAAGATCTTAAGCGATTAAATGTAAGTACTGAAGCGAAGCTCATAACAAGCAAGGGTGAATTGGCATGAAATGCAAACGTAAGCATGAGAAAATAATCCGTGGTTTTTACCATAAATGCCTGTTTTCTACAGGAAAAGCTATGTTCTCCTATAACATTTACAAGCCATCTTGCCCCAGCAAGGATTAACATTTGGCATCGAAGTACTGATCTGGCAAAGAGCTGCCAGTAATGTAATCTTTTTTACAACCAATGACATGCTTAAAGTCTTGACGGACTTGACCTCTGCCCATTGCTAATCCCTAACTTTCTTGCCCATTCAGATGTACATCTTTAAAGAGATGACACCAAATGTATAGCAAACAGCTAAACTTTAACTGAAGGTGAAACAAGAGCTGCCCAGAGAAAAACATTGGGTGGAAGGAAATCCGAGTGTTCCTTACCCAGCCTCATGCTGGGATTTTGACCCCATCATGGGGGAAGAGGTGCCTGCTCAGTTATATGTGTGCAGTGGCTTCGTTTCTGCCCAGATGGGAGAACACACCTTTTGGCACTCCAGGAGCACTGAAGAGCTCTAGCTATAATCAGACTCTTTATGCTCAGGCTGTCTGAACGGTCCTTGATCCCAAAGGACTAAGCTAAACAAAGTAGATGAAGCTCACACATGTTAAAATGAGGCA